GTGGAGAATCATAGGGGTGAAAAACACGGGTGAGTGATATTTGAGAGAGCGTGAAGTGCATCTGATGGAAAGTCTTCAAATAATATGCGAACTGTTCAAATGGTCTAGACGAGTCTAGGATTACACGGGGTATGCGAGACACATATAATGTATGGGCTGATAGAATTCATGTTGTAGAGGGAGAACAAATCCAGAGAGAAATGTGTTTTTGAGATGGATTAGGTTCGAACAAAAAATATTTGTAATTCATGTTCTTTACAAATGAATAAAATCAGTTGGAAAATTTTTGAAAACAATATCGTGTGATTTTACTTTTTCAATAAAAAACATCAATAGAAGCATGTTTATAAAAAAGATAGTTTTTACTCAAAATCCTGGATTTAAGTTTTCAATATACTCTATTTAAAAATTTTACATGGCATCAAAAGATATCCAAAAAGAAAACAATGAACATTAAATGTTATCTTTCCATATTTCGGTATTCATTAAATGATTGAAAATAAATTATTTATGATACTTTTAGTCTATAATGATAATTTCAATTTCATTTGGTGAAAAAAAAAACTTAATTTATTTGATCGGTTAAAAAGGAAACTAGTTTTATAAGTAAAAAGATCCCAAACTTGAACAGAGTTGGACTATTCCACCTACCACAAGTCCGATTTGGGCCTCAAGTCCACACCCATTTTAACAAATTTATATTATCTTATAGATATTTCTTTTGGTTTTTTATTTTACATTTTCCCACTTAAACATTCATACTGGTTGTGAATATTTTTGGATTTTTTTTAATTATATTTCAGTTCCATTATTCGGGGTTCAGTTCTTTTTCCTTTCATCAAAATTATATTCCTTTTATTTTTTTCATTCAATTTTATTTGGATTCAATTTTCATTTTAAAAATTATTCATTTGTTTAGTCGTCTTTTTAATTCAGAATTTTAGATTGGGTTCAGTTAATTTAATTTTAGAAAAATCAATAACAAATCTAAAATTTAGTTAAAATACAATTATGCTTTGTTAGATCATATCGGTTCCGTTTTACATATCAGAAATATTCATACTAAATAATACACGTATTTTAATTCTAGTAATATATATATATATATATATATATATATTTGTGAGATGACATAAAATAATATTTAGGCATGTTTTATATGTTTAGTTTAATCACTTGGATGGTCGGCTTACGACTTTGATTGAAATTACGGATAGGTCCTTTGGATTAGCAATGGGATTATGGCCATTGGGTAGTCCGATCAATGGGCATTTCAATTGGATTAATCTAATACAATTAGGATATAAACCTTAAATTAAACCCGAACGGGGACGAAGGTTTTTTTTATATGAAATAAACATTTTTCCATAAAAATGAAATCGAATCAAAACAAAATTGGAATCGAAGGAAAAATAAATAAAAAAATTGAAGGAATATACCTTTTGCAATGTATATTAAACTTATAAGTTAAGATGTAAATTATGTTATATCTCCATATGTAGATTAATAATATTTCGGTTGATATAGATAAAGTTCAAATAAAATTCTAAATAGATCGTTATTCGAATTATTTTTGAAGCAAAATGATTGTGTAATAGGAAACATTAATCAGGAAGAATCGTCTAAAAATCACACACATATATGTATATGCGTATCTATATATGTTTTTTTTAAGCTGGTGATTTTTTTTATACGAACTATAATCGCTGTAAAGAATAAAAGAAAGGTTTTTTTAAACGTTTCCGAGAGTTCTTGGAACGAAATGAAATATTTCAAAAGTATGGGGCTTAAAGTGTTATTTTCCGGAGGTAGAAAGTAATTAAAAGTTGGCGTAGTAGTAGAACGCGAAGGGAAAGCTGAAGACGTCGAAGAAAGTGGAAAACAGAGCCAGCGAGAGCTCGAGAGGGCTTTGTTGCGGGTAACAATGGCGAATATGCCTCAGTCTCTGTCAATGGGCACGTCCTTCGGTGGTCCCAGCACGTCGGCTCATGTTGTCTCCGGAGCTCCGGCGAGAAATGATCGGAACTTGGCGTCGGCGGAGCAATTGGTTCTCGATCTCTGCAATCCTGATCTCAGAGAGAATGCACTCCTCGAACTCTCCAAGGTAGTCTCCTACTGAGCTCGGATATTTTTTTCTCGCCCTTGTCGGGTTTGGTCCCTTAGAGCTGTAATTTCATTTGATTCGTGGAGAGAAACTAGGATTCATGAGGTTTTGAGAGGAAGTTGACGAGTGAAATTTCGGAATTTGGGAAATTTTCTAATTCGATGGAAAGGAGGGATTTAAGTTTTTCTCTAAACTATTTGCATGACGGAGAATTGTATCGGTATCTAAAATAGGGTTTTCTTAATTTCCTTTGTTATTGTTGTAGAAAAGAGAGTTGTTTCAGGATTTGGCTCCCTTGTTGTGGAATTCTTTTGGTACCATTGCTGCACTGTTGCAGGTATGATGATTCATGCCCTTTGGTTATTTTAGTAACTTTTTTGTATTATTTTTTCTGATAAATGATCTTTTATGGGTTTGTGGATTTCAACCTTTGATGGGTTTGTTGATTTCAACCTTTGAATTATGATTATTACCCTGTGTTAGAGTGGTGTAATTGGTTTTCTCTTCATGTCACAGGAGATAGTTTCAATTTACCCTGTTCTTTCACCTCCGAATCTGACTCCTGCTCAATCAAATCGTGTCTGTAACTCACTTGCCCTTCTTCAGGTAATGGGATCTGCTGCAGATGGGGCTTTCCTAATCCCTATTCATCTTTTAATCAAGTGGAGTTTTATATAGCATGCTGAATTGCAAATTTATATATATATATATATGGAAAATTCAAAGGGCCGACTTGACTTAGCGGTAAACTCATTTGCCGTGGGGTCTGAGGTCGCTGGTTCAAATTCTTCTCTCTACATAAAAAGTAGGGGTAAAGTTGCCTAGTATATTCTCTTCTCCAGAACCCCCACTAGATGGGGATATGAATTGGATTGGTCCTTTATATATATGGAAAATTCGTCAAATTGTTGATCTACCTACTGTCGTGCTGTCTAACAATGCAGTGCGTGGCTTCTCATCCTGACACGAGAATGTTATTTCTCAAGGGTAATTTCCTTTTTCATTTTGGCAGGCTAGCTTAATTAGTATGTGATTTCAAGTATTGAGAGAATGTGTAACGTACCAATACCATACTGACCTTTCTTCCTTTGGAAATTTGATTAAATGTTTCTGGGTGGTTAGTTTTGTGTATAGTGTATAGCTCTGATATATGGTCTCCATTTATCTTAGGATGCGTTCCCTCCTTGTATGACCACTATTAGATGTTTTTACTTGAGGTGTTGTGACAAATAATGAATTTCGTCTGAGGATAAGACTGTTGCTTTCTTATTTACAGCTCATATTCCACTGTATCTGTATCCTTTCCTTGATACAACAAGTAAATCAAGACCTTTCGAATACTTGCGGCTTACTAGCTTAGGAGTCATCGGTGCTCTTGTGAAGGTAATCTATCTTGTGAATCCAGTAGAATGGTTTTCTTTATTTATTCTCAAATATTAGATCTCCAAGGACGGCATGTAGTTCTAAGAATTAGGGTTTTGGGGGGGGGGAGTAGATTCCATGCCAAAGTCTTCAACCGAAAGCAAGTACGTCGACTTGTACACAGTATTTTCTGAAATAGATCAGACCCTGATAGATATAGTTTCTTCTTGACGCGCATATCTCTGCTCTGACTGGATTAAAGGGCAACTATTTAGAAATAATAACTTTGATTAGTTTCAAAATTGGCCGGTCAGTGTCCAACTTGCAGTTGGGGCTATGTAGAATTGGTCAAGTAATTCTCATTTGTTGAAATTTTGCTGCTTCGGTATTCGAGATAGTTTTTGGCTCAACAGATTTATTGATGTTGTTAACCAGGTTGATGATGCAGAGGTCATTAGCTTCCTTCTTTCCATTGAAGTTGTTCGTTTGTGCCTCCGTACAATGGAGATGGGCAGCGAGCTGTCAAAAACGGTTAAGTCTTTTAAACTTATAACGGCCTTTTTCTGTTGTTTCATTATGTAATTGGCTTTTCCGTTTTCTTTTTTTTTTCCTATTGCCTATCCCAAAATTTATTGTGAGATGATTATTGCTTGCTGCATAGTGATACGCTCGACTTTCTAATTGTTTTTAACGAGAGATCTGGCATCATCATTGTTTATCAAAATATCGTAAACAGAGGTTGGAAACTTCATGGAACCAATTGCATCAATGTAAATAGTATATACACCAAAAGCATGCAATGGGTTTTGTATGTGTGTATGTATCTTAACAAGTTGTGATTGGCAGGTTGCAACATTTATAGTTCAAAAGATCTTGTTGGATGAAGTGGGCTTGGATTACATCTGCACAAAAGCAGAGAGGTTTTTTTCGGTTGGTCGTGTTTTGGGAAATATGGTTGCTTCACTTGCGGAACAGCCCTCACCTCGGCTATTAAAGCATATAATCCGTTGTTATCTTCGTTTGTCAGATAACCCGAGGTCAGTCCGTTCACTCATAAACAATTCCTTAACAAACAAAATAATGTTTGAATTCATTTCTCTATTGAGGGTTTCATGCTCAAAGCTTTGCGTGTGTTTTCCCAGAGCTTGCGCAGTACTCGGAAGCTGCCTCCCTGACTCGTTACGAGATGGAACTTTTGTCAGTTGCCTCCGTGTAAGTCGTATAACGATGGATCCGAAATTTATTTTTCGATTGGTTCAATTGGGTAGGAGTACTTTTAGGGTTTAGTAAAAATGGAAGTAAATTTTTGCAAGAAACTCTCTGGTTTTATCAGGAGGATCAAACAGCAAGAAGGTGGTTGCAGCAGTTGCTTCACAATGTCAATGTCGGAGTGGGTGCTGGTCGGGTCCCGACACTTCAAACTGGAGGATTCGATCACATGCTTTTGAGCTGAATAAGGATAATTAAAGTTTCCACCTTTCGGGGTTTTTTTTTTTGTAGTTTTTGTCTTATCTGAAGATCACATTGTACAGTCAGTATTTTTCTTGGAAAGAAAAAGGATTTTGACAAATAGAAAGAGGACATGAAATGGAAAGCAAAGGGAAGGATCTTTTTCTTTTATTATTATTAAATCTATGACATGGCATCTCAATGTTAGTGTTAGAATCTCTTGACGGGGACGAGGGCTCCATCCTTTGCGCCTGACTCGAGCATTGCCTCTAGAACGGCCACATCTCTAGCTCCTTCCAAGTATGACAGACGAGGCTCTCCTTCCTGCTGCAACACAGACACAAGTAGATTCTTGTCTGAAAATGCATTGTTGAATCCTAAATTTCGGATTAAAACAAGAAGGTAAAATTGCGAAATTTGGATTACCGAGGCTGAAGCCTGCGAAACGTCGTGGAAGAACGCTTTCAACTCCTCGGTCACTCCACTGAAGGGGTAAAAAATGGTCCTCGTTTCCCCTCTGTCGCTGTAAACAGTGGCCTGAAAATGAACCGTAAAGACAGTTTTGGTTACTCTTTATCATATGATGTTCAGGAACTTTCATGTTCGTGTGAATATACTGACCAGATAACCGTGTCTTCCCTCTTGCATTCCACGCTCAAGTTGAACAGTGCCCTTCAATCCGACAACCCTCCAGAGTATCTAAAAGCATTAGAAGAATACCAATAAGCGGACTATAAGTACAAGATCAAGAGGCTCGAAATCAAGTTTCAACTTTTACTACATGCCTTGGGAGATTTTGAAGATACAACCATCACGAAAACTCCAGAGCATCCGTTCTCAAGTTGGCTGCGAATAAAGAGAAGACCCTGTCTCAGTATTCACATCAAACCAATGCCTAAAACATGCTTCTGATTCAACCAGATGCTTACAAGTTGGATGTTATGTTGTCCGGAGCAGGCAAACTCGTATCCACGTGAGTAGTGGTTGCTGATACTGATGTTACTTCACACCCAACAAGCTATATTCATTTGAATTCAGAGAGATCAGACTTTGAAATCCAATAACAATATATAGAAGAAGATGCTCATTGATAGTTCAGTTTTTTTTGGAGTGGAGAAGTACCATCCTTAGCCCTGCGATGTAATGCACACCCATATCCAAAATGAAACCTCCCTGCAGAATGGGAAATGGGTTTATGGTAAAAGTATCATCGAGCCTAAGAAAAATGATGATAGCAAATAGTATCTCCTCGATTGCTAATTTTCAATTCCAAAGAAAAAGAACCTAGAAGACAGGAAGATGCATCTTATATGATAGAAACTTAGTTAGCAGAAGAGTTGAAGTTACAGCAAAACAAGAATCTAGAGCAACAGAAGAGTATGTACCCCCAAGTTTCGCCTCCAGGAGCTTGAGAAATAAGGGTTTGAACTATTCATTGATCCCTCGACAATTAGTTGGACATTCATCATAGTCCCGATTTCTCCTACCAGTTTCTTCAACTGTGCAGAAAACAATCATAATATATTTCAAGTATAACGTCGATTGATCATAGGGAAGTGTCAGTCACGATTACCTCAACAAAAGCAGGCTCAAAACGGTAATTTTCGGCCACAGCCCAGATTGATGGGCTTGGGGAACCAGTAGAAATGTTCTTGTAGCTCGAGATTGCAGTTTCGATCTCACTGATTGCTGCAACATCAAATGACAGATTCTGAATCTTAAAATTTTTGGGAAAAGAAATCTCATGATGCATATATATTGTGTAAGTGAGTAGATTACATATGCAAGTTCAATTCTGCTTCGAATGAGCAGAAAATAATGATATTAGGAATTTACTTTGTACAGCATTGAAATCGCCTGGTATTAGGAATTTGCAAGCTTTTTACAAAGTGATAAAACTGAACTCAATGAGAAGAGCGTTCGACTCACATGCGGCAGCTGGTTTCTCTGAAGACCATCCAGGAGAGCGAACAACAAGGAGATAGAGAAGAAGAAATTCAGTATTCTGTGTTGGACATATTCTCAAGCAGTGATAACACTGACGATAAAAAAAGAAAAAGCTCATATAGTGGCGAAGAATATCAGCAAAGCAATGCATGCCTTGTTTAGCCATGTTCTTTCTTTTGGGCTAAAAATAAACTCAAGTAGGTGCTGTTCATGAACCTTTCCAGGATTCTTCACTTTGAGAACAATAGCAGACTGCTTCCATGTTTAAATAAATATAAAGGCAGGCAATTTGCAATGTTTTATGGTAAATGAAGGGGACAACTGACCTTGAAGGACATGTTTCCCTGCCTTTAGCATCTTCAATGACATTTCGACCTGCCAAGCGTAAGATGCTAAAATCATTCAGCAGTGCAAGCAGAAAGCCCAATACTTCAGCCACAAGGGGAACTCTCTGGATGTTCGGTGTGAGAGTTACGTCGCTAACAAGCTTCTTGGTTCAAAATTTATGTCTTCCTTTACACTCAAAGAAGAAGAGATAAACAGAAAGAACGACAGAGTATAAATTTCTAATGCAAAGGGAAACCAAAAATCATGTTTCAGGAAGAAAACTGGATTTAATTGGATCTTCGGACATCAAGGATAGCATTGCAGATTACAAAACACCTATAGTACTGAAAATTTTTGTGTCTTTCGTTAGAATGGCAAGGAGAACAAAGTTTCAGGTACACCCTGCCACGGTGTCATCTCTCGGACGATAGAGATCACACATTACACAATAACAGTTTATCAGAGTTAGTTTCCTGACTGAAAGGCCACACTGAACAAGTAATTTTGTGGTAAACTAGAAACCAAATATCTCCCATTTTATTATAACCTACCCATTCTTCAGGTCATATGAAGTTGTCTAGTACAAGGTATCACAAGATTCATCATCTTCACAACCAGATCCCAGAAGAATTGCCGAGTTCAAGCTCAAAGCCTCGATCTCAGACATGGAAGCAAATCCAAAGCAATCAAATCAAGGCAAAATCCTTAGGGTGAATAAACTATCTACAACTTGTCACAACTTTGCAAAGGCATTCTCAACTAATGTTTGTACAATTTTTGTATGTCTCTCATTCTCACTTAGCATCTACCAAACCCCTGTGCTCTTGAACCGAATAGAGAGCCCCCAAACAAAATCAAACCTATAACCGACATGAAGAACAAACAGTCCTCAAACTGTATGGATCTATCAAGACAAGAATTCAAAGTATACCTGGATTTGTCCAGCTAAAACTACACCGACACCGACGATCGAATTGTCTCGAATGATCTCATCCAGACCCTCTTCTCCCCATTTGCACTCCACATCAGGGAAATGCTTTCGCGCTATCTCCACTGCTCCTTTCGCAGATTCCTTCACCATAAACACAGAGCCCACATTAGATTGCGATATCAGAACGAAGCAATCTCAAAGACATAGCCGCTACTTCAGCTCTCCATTTTACAGCCTCATATTCCTCCGTGACCCTCACAAAAATCATCGTTATTCACCATTATTTTCCCAAGTCAAGCCCAGATTTCGCACGAAACGGATAAGAAGGAATATACCTCCGTGCGGCTCCAGATTGCCCTGAGGACGAACAGATCGGAGATCTCAGCTAACCTGGGAATGTATTGCGTTCTGACGAAGATTCCGGCTCCGAGAATTGCGAGTCCAGGACGAGGATTCGCCATTTTTTTCCCCTTCTCGTCGACCTCCGATTCCGAGATTTCAAATCGAATTCGCACAAGACGGTTATGACTGTGTTTCTGCTAAGTTGTATGTAAGATCATGAGTGGACAAGGAATGGGGGCATCGATACCAATAAAATAATTAGATTACACTTAAATGGATCAACACTGCAAAAGTAATACACACTAATTACAACTTTGATTTATTAAACTGCATTACACCATATCTTTAATATTGCAATTCAAATGTGGACAAATTAAATTGACAAAACAAACTGTGCAAGATCTAAAACTCGTTTTTTTTAAACGAAATTAAATGAATTTGAATCAAATATAAAATAAACAAATACATGGAATAAAAATCTTTAGAAAAATTAAAATGCAACACAAAATAATATAAAATAGTGAAAAACGAATCAAATATATAAATAATATATATTAATATTCAAACTGTAGATCCAGTTATATAAGTAGCAGAACAGAGTAGGTGCTATTAGTTTAAGATCTGACCATGTGGATCATGGAATCAATTTAGATTATAATACATATGAAATAAAATTTTATCAAATTTTTTAAATACATATTTACTTAAAGATAATGTAGATTATAAATATATTATTACATATGCAGGATGAACATTATCTTTGAATATCCGAAATTTTAAACATCCATTTATACTGATGCAAATACGAACCGGATTGATATTTGATGGGTGTGCCGCCGAGTACACGTGTACGCAGTCTTAACTGGTCATAACTTGTCAATGGTATAAAATCGGATCCAGTGCCATTTTTGCATCCATATTGAAAATTACCGAAATGCCCCAATCATCTATCTTCCCCTTCTTCCTAAAACCCTAACTCCCTGCTTCCCAATCTTCTGAAACCTATGTTTCACTGAGAATTAATTGCAGAGTTTTTTTTTTCTGTCGCCTTTTCAATTTTGGTTGTCATCTTGTCTCTTTTGTTCTTTCAATTTTTTTCTTGTTTCAATTCTTCTGGGTTTTATATGGCTGGCGGAGATACTTCAGCTGAATCGAAGAGGGGGAGCTCGAAGAACCCTAAGAGCTCCAAAGACAGCAATCTCAAGCAAAGTAATAATCCTTTGTATCTTTCTGAATCTGTTTGGAGTGTATACGGGTTTGTTGCTGTGAAATTCTGCTGGATTCGACTAATTTGAATTCGTCAATTTGCAGAATCTCCGGCAGAGTTTTTCGCCGAGAACAAGAACATTGCCGGATTCGATAATGTGAGTCTCAATTCGTGGCTTTCTAAGGATTTGAATTGGCACTAAGTTTCATTTGGGCGAATGGAATACTTTCCCTAGATGACATTTCTCGACTTTTTCATTCGATTTCACGTCTTTTCATGTGGTTTAGTTGCTTGTTCACTGATTTCAGCCGGGAAAATCTCTGTACACTACAGTTAGAGAGCTTGTTGAGAATGCCCTTGATTCTGCGGAGTCGATATCTCAACTTCCCGAGGTAGAAATAACAATGTACGTTCCCCAATTTGGCCTAAAAGCTTACACTTCGGGGTGAAAAACATGTCAGTTTTTGAAGATATGTTAACTCCGGTCAGAGAGGAGGATGTATTTTCGCAAAAAGTTTCTAAATTTTTGTTGGGTTCACCGTCCTTAAGTTCAATTTCATCTTTATCAGCTTTTCTTTTAGCCTGTAAATTGATTGTCCTGGTTTTTTAAGTGAAGAGATTGGAAAATCCAAGTTTAATTCCATGATTGGTCTTGTTGATCGGGAGCGCGTTGACGAGAAGCTGTATGATGACTACGAGACAGTGAAGGCTCGCGAGGTGCATGAATTCTCCGCCTTCTTATTTTTCTATTTTCCCCTTTTCGTCTTTGGATTTCATTTTTTATGATCATGTTTCTTGCATTTCTACAGCCGTCTTTTCCATTTGAAATGTTTCAGCTCTTTTACAATCTTCTAAGTTCCCTCCTTTTTTGGGGCTTGTCATCAATTCGCCTTGTTTCACTTGGTTATTGCCACACAGAAAAGATTAGCGAAGGAAGCTCGTGCTCAAGAGATACAAGCTAAAAATGCTGCATCGGGAAAGAAAGTGAAAGAGCCTGCAGTGTCAAAGGTTTTAAAGGGTCGTGGTGAAGCATCATATTACAAGGTCACATGCAAGGTGAGGCTTAACATAATTTTTTCTCTGATTGCTACCCTAATTATTTCAAACAAATCTATACTCAACAGGAACTTGTATGTGTTATTTCAATGACATGTGCCAGTGACAGCAAGAACAGAGATCTTAAAAATCGAAATAAATCATAGCATGTAGAAATACATATATAGGTATACTTGTTCAAAAAAATACCCCCCCTCTTTTTTTAAAAAAAATTCTTGCATTCATTTGACTTATGACTTGATATGTAGGATAATGGAAAGGGAATGCCACATGATGACATCCCAAATATGTTTGGCAGAGGTAAAATGCAAATGACCAACTCAAGTTTTCTTTACCAATTTATTCAAATGTTAATGCCTTCTAGATATGGTTCTATCCTGAAGCTAGATCAAATGTTGTCTTTCTCACAGTTTTGTCTGGTACGAAGTATGGACTGAAGCAAACACGTGGGAAGTTCGGTCTCGGTGCAAAGATGGTAGTATTTCTTTATCAATCTTAAATCTCTGGCTTCTGTTCATTTCCTTCCTTATTTTCTTCTTTAAATATGTATTTCAAAATATATGATTGTGTATTTGAGGTCAACTGGTAAAACTGCATCAGACTGTGATGCAGGTTATTGTATGAATATCTTTAACACTATAGCTTCATCACATTATATGACCAACATAGAAGCATTGCGTGTTGATGTTCCTTAACTTGATATAACGGGCACATTTGTTGGATATGGAGCTTTAAAGTGTCCTGTTATGGTAGAATCAAATTTGTAGGAGCTTTTTTTTTAACTCTCTTTTCGATGTGCAGCTGAGCTTTTTTATTGCGTTATATGCATTTCACGTCAAGGCAAAGGTTTTCCCGAGACAAGGTCACAAGAAGCAATTTAACTTTTCCGGTCTTTTCAAATTTGCATGGCTTGCAGGCATTGATTTGGTCCAAAATGAGCACAGGCCTCCCAATCGAGATCTCATCATCCATGAAGGGCCAAAGTTATGTCACTTTTTGCAGACTGGATATTGATATTCATAGGTATCACTTACATAAATTAGCAGGTTCTTGGTCACTATCATCTGGTTTACTATTTTCTCGTTATGTGAAGATAACATCATTGATTCCTTAATCTCTCATTAGAAAGATTGATCTTTAAGTGTTTGAAATTTTCAGGAATATTCCCCATGTTCATCTACACGAAAAGAAGGGCAACACAGAGAGATGGCATGGAGCCGAAATACAGGTGGTAATTGAGGGAAACTGGACAACATACAGAGTACGTTGTTTAGTTTTTCCTTTTGAAGATGTTCTACCATATCTGTTTTAAGTATTCTTTAGATATTTGTGATGTGTTGAGTCTTAATATTTTCTTTGTTGATTTTTTCAGTCGAAGATCTTGCACTATATGCGCCAAATGGCTGTTATTACTCCATACGCACAGTTTCTGTTTAGATTTATATCCGATACACCAGAGTATGTGTTCTCTCTCTCACTCACTCATCATTTATCTGCTGCTTAGCTCATTATGTGCATAGTTATTGAGTCATCCGTTTCTCTTTCGGCTTTTGATGAAGAAAAAATATCACAATAAAATTTGCCCGAAGAACGGATGTAATGCCTCCTGTTCCAGTTGAGACAAAACACCATCCTTCGTCAGTTGACTTGCTGCTTATCAAGCGCCTGATTGCAGACACTTCGAAAAAGACCCTTCTGCAGTTTCTTCAGAATGAATTTGTGAATATTAACAAATCCCTTGCAGCACGATTAATTGGTAAGTAGCTTATCTCATTTGTTATAAACATTTGAAGTTGGCTTACCTATCTGTAGTGATTCACTTTAGTCTTTCCCTCCAAGATGCTTTCAGCATTATGCTTACTGGATTAGTACTGACTGGGATGATCAGCTATTCGATTTAAAAGATTCATTATAGTGCCTTAATGACTTAGAAGGATAATTGCAATTTTTTGTTTTTGCTCGTTCTAATCTAAAGAAGAGCACCATAGCCTTTATGATAGTCGATATGCTTACTATTGCGCTTTTGTTTTTTCTCTCAGGAGAAATGGGACCAGATTTTAGCCCTAATATGGCTGTCAAGTCTCTGACATCTCAACAAATGGTCCGCATACATCAATTATTCCGCCAGGCTAAATTTGATGACCCTAGTGGTGATGTAAGTTGCTGCTTTCTCCGATCTGCTCTTTTTGTGCATCTTTCTCATCTCTATATCTGCATTTTCCCTGAGGCTTGTTTATGAGGAATTATAGTATTATACCATCTGCAGAATTATCACAAGAATTAGCTCTAATGATGATTTTTTTGTAGTGTCTTAGTCCCGCGGGAGAGTACAATCTTCGTCTGGGGGTTATCAAGGAACTGCATCCAGATATGGTGGCAACTTATTCAGGCAGGTTGTCTTTTCAAGCTTAAATTTTCGGCAAATGCTTCTTTTAGAAATCCAATGCCTTCGCCGTTCTTTCTTCTATCAAAGTGTACCATATTTGCTGTTGGTTTGAGCTGGCTTTAAGTGTTGACTTCTTCCTGGAAACTTTGCACAGTGCTCAGGTCTTTGAAGGTCATCCTTTCATTGTTGAAGCCGGTGTTAGTTTGGGTGGAAAAGATGTGAAACAGGCAAGTCATATCCATAGTCTTCCCTTCTTGTTTTCTTATTTGTGTGTATATATCCACGGAAAAGCATGTTAACTAGACAAAAGTTAGAAAACCGTTCATGTCACATGTATCCAATATAAAAATTTAAAAGGGAAATACAGATGGTCTTTTAATAATTCCTGTATGGTAGATCAGAATTGTTATATTTTCATCTTGTGAGTTTTCGTTTGTGTGGAAACTAAAATTGCAGGGAATAAACATTTTCCGTTTCGCAAACCGTATTCCTCTCCTTTTTGAGCAAGGTGGTGATGTCGTCACCAGGACAGCCTTAAAGAGAATCAAGTAAAACAAACATCTTGTAACCCACTCGATATGTATCACTATATATATACACACACGTGTGGGAGTGTATTTCACTAAGGGGTATTTGGAAATCTTTGCAGTTGGAGTACTTATAAGATCAACCAGACACAAGATAAAATCGGGGTATTTATCAGTATAGTGAGCACAAAAATCCCTTTCAAAGGGACAGGGAAAG